AGACCTAAATCTGTAATGGAAATACACATTTTATTACATACATATATGTAATATTTCATGTGTACAAATTAAAAAGAAAACAAAATATCATTGCTGTAATAAATTATATTTATTAACATCTTCGGTCTGTCCAATGATTGTAAACAGTCATTAGGTTCGTCAGACTGAAGATATTTTAGCGGTAATGAGACCAAAAATATGTAAGACCCATCAAATTTGAATTTAAGACATTTTAAGACTTTTTAAGGCCTTGTATTAGGAAAACGTTATTTAAGACATTTTAAGACTTTTTAAGGACCCGCGGACACCCTGTTGATTAACAGGCAGTCTGACACATTATAACGCCGAATCCATAATTTTTGTCCAACAAACAAACCAGACAGGAGTAGATTAACGTCGGTGGACTTGAACTTGAAAAATTGGTAGTTTCTTGATGGTCGCACCACATGATATTTCATAAAATGGAAATCATCGGACAAAGTTTGTTTGTATATTATGATGGAAATATAAATACAAATGCTTTGCAATTTTACACAGGATTACAAAACACTTTGGAAATCATGCCAAATAGTGCATAAAATTAATTTGAATTAATTTAGGGTAATTTCAAAGATGTTTACAAAAAAAAAGTTATGGCCGGACGGTCACACCACATGATATTTTGACACTTTGAATAACATAAAAATTACAAATAGCTAATGTTTTTTGAAAAGTGAAAGTGAGTTCATACATGGGAGAGGTCCTTCATATATATGGCATCTTTTTTAGGCATTTAAACCAATTTTTAACAGAAAACAAAATGCAATCGGACAGAAAATTTAGGCGTCACTTCATTGACCCATATATATAATTATATATATATATACATTTTCAGATATTAATATTAATATGTATTGTTGCATATACATGAAAATAATATATAATATACCATTCGAATGTTGGGGGTTGGTAAGATTTTTAAATGTTTTTGAAAGGATTTATTTGATCAGAAATACAGTATTATATTATCAATGTTGAAAATAGTTCAATATTAATTTTTTGTGGAAAACTTTTTTTAGCAAGTTCAAAAGAACAATTCATTTGAAATAAAAATCTTTTGTAAGATTAGAAATGTTTTTATTGTCAATTTTAATCAATTGAATTAATTACAATTTGTTCTAAAATATCAAATAAACAAAAAGAGTAAAGAAAAAACTAAATAAAATCTTTCATTATTTAAAAAAAAAAAATAGAGATTTAGTTAAGGTCAATACCTAAAATGTGAAACAAATCTGCCATTTTAATACAATTGATTCATAAACCACATTAAAGACACATTTTCTGACAATGTCTAATGGGAATTTTGCTTCACAGGTAAATTTAATTTGTTTTAAGGAGGTTTAGATGAGGGCACTGGAAAGCAAGACAAATATGGCATTTATCATGCATTTAGCAAAGATTTTATATTAATGGATGATTTGTCTGCATTGATTTCTGATTCAAAGGTGAGCTTGTGATTGTTTGTTATTTGTTCAGAGTTGCAGCTGTCTGTTCCCACCCCCCCCAGCATCAGCGATATCTGACTGATTTTAATGCTTCCTTTCTGCCACATGGTCTGTCGTCACGACGACACAGCGTGACTGAAAAGCAGAAAACCCATTTGCTCCAACCGCTTTAATCAAACACACTCATTCATTATTCAGAGCGCGTGAGAGGGTGCAGGGGGCAAGCCACAGTGTGTGTGTGTGTGTGTGTGTGTGTGTGTGTGTGTGTGTGTGTGTGTGTGTGTGTGTGTGTGTGTGGACTATTGGAGTTTGAGTCAGTGCACATTCAAATAATACAAGCAAAACAAGATGTTTTGAACATATAAATATGTCAATCCGATTGCTAAACTATAGATGACAAATAGTTATCATACAAAAAAAAACTTTCATGAAAATAGGTCTCAGCTGGAGGCCGAAGAAAAGCCAAATGCACACAAACACACACACAAACAAGTGAAGAAAATCCCTAAGACTTTAGAAACTCACAGAGAGAGGTGAGAGAATGAGAACGAAAGAATTAATTGGTTTCCTAGGTGGAAACTGGGAAAATAATCTGGACGCAGGTCAGTCGGGACGGATCTAACTGCCAGCTCTCCATGGGTGCAGAAGAACAAACTAAACAGCGCAACATACACACACACACTTCTGTGATTCTCTTTGCTTTATACACACAGCACAATTCAAAGGGACAGAGGCAATCAAATCCATCCAGTCAGAAGCCATTAAATCAGAAAATATACTGTACTGAACAAGACAAGCCACATACAGACACAGAGAGAGAACATTGACTGATATAATAACCTGTTTTAATGGCTCTAATCCAAAACCTAGTGAGCAGCCTACGCAAACAGGATTTTAAGGTATCAGAGGTGCACTCTTGACGCATCGGCTATTTAAAAAGGTAGGCAGCATGATGATTATGCAGCATTGCATCTAGACTTCATGGAGAATGCAGTCCATAAATGCAAAATACAACTTACTCTAGTGCACAAAAGTATCATTGGGCAGTGTGTATGGAACCAAACTGAACAACTAGTTGTTAATGACATATTTAAGTGCACATCAGAGACATGTCTCTCTTCTCTAGCCCAGGGAAATCCCAGTATCTCCCAGTATGTCTTGACTTATTTGTGTTGCCTGACCTTGAAAAAAAAAAACCATGATAAACTAAAATCCAAATGCTTTATCTTGGAAAAAAGCCACATACCAAAATATCACAACCTGCATCTGCCTACTTTATTAACTCGATTATTAATTTATTAACTTGATTCATGAGCCAAAACCAAACAACAAGCCCAAACATGTATATTTAATAAGCGTGCTTATAATAAGTGGACATGGAAACACTTCAAGAGTGTGCTTTGACTTTGAATATGAAATGTATTTGTGCATTTTTAAAAGTATTAAAAAGTATTAAATTATGTACTAAATTATGAGCAGTTTTTAAAATAAGTACAAATTAATAATACATTTAAAAAACTGCATTTTAAGAACTAAATATAGCGCCAAAACATACAAAAAATAATAAAGTATTAAAGGGGCAGTGAGGGAGTTTTCACATCAGAATTTTCTTTTTCAAACTTCAGAATTGATTCTGAGCTTAATAGTTTTTTTCACATATGTGCGATGGCAGTCGAATTTTGTTTGTGTGTTTATAGCATAGTTGAAAAGACAATTGCATTGGATTGGAGAATCTATTTTTTCAAAAGTGAAATCACTGAAATCAGCAGTGAAGAGCATTATGACACAAAAAGTTACTGCCATTTGTAAACCACTCCAAATATGTTTGGGATTTGGAACATAATGTGCACATTTGTACATTTGTAAAATCATCAGTGTTAGATTTAGACAGAGCGAGTGACTGAGGATGTAGAAACTTGTGTAGGATGTTCTGTCAGGTCACCACTTGAGCTGCACATGATATAAATGGGAAAGACTGCCCTAAAGGCCTAGATGTCCTTTAATATTAACAGCAGTTTTGCAAACTTACTCAAATAAAGTGACTCCTTTACAGAGGTAGAACTACATTAGAATGCCAGCAACAGCACAACACAAACACTCCATTCACAAAGGGTCTGACAAAAACACAGAGGGAGTTGCATCTTAAAGCCAGATTTTCTCTCCACCAAGATGTTTTAGGAGAAACAGACACTGAGGGAAAACACTGAAATATTCATGATGCATTATTATAATGAGATCAAATCTGCTGACTCTGACTCTGTCTGGCACCAGTTTAAAGTACAGAGGCAGTTGTGGTTGTAACAGTAAGAGTTAATGGATTGAATTTATGTGATGAATATGAAAGCAGTGAGGTTATGACTGTGAGTTTTGGTGCAGACCCACAGGAATTATTTATACAATGAGCATCTGTACTGAAGACAATAAGAAATAAAGCAATTATAGTTCAGTTTTGTGAATTAGTATTTCAGAGTAATATCAGCTTTAACAAATCACCTTCTAAAGATAAAATATTGATTATAGCACCAGTGTGAATCTCACAAAACCTGTCAAGAACATGCCAGATTGTATTTCAGCCCAAAATCGACAATTTTATAGAATTAGCATTACATATTTCGTAAATATAATATTAAGTCTGTTTTAAGATGATAAAGATTTTTTTGCATTGTGACATTTTCATAACTAATGTTTCATACTTCAAAATTTATTTCAAAACTAATTATTTGCAATGAAGCATAATTTCCACATAATCCTCAGTAACATAATGCAAGAAAAAAAAAATTGGTATAATGTAAAGAAAGGATATTCAGATAGTACAGTATTTATTCATCATGCCAGTTTGCTGTACTTTAATTTATGCTGATTTAAATACAAAATTCACTGTTATTACAGTAAAGAGAATCTAATGAGAATCACAAATGTGAGTAACGAGAATTACAAAAAAAACTCATTACGATAATGAGGATTTGGGGGATGTGCTAAATTGCACACTATAAATAATGTAAAAATGCAAGAAATCTTTAGGATCCTAAAAAGGCTTCATTTTATTAATATAAAATACAGTTAATTTTGAATTTCAGGTTGGAATGTGACCTTGTTCATATGACATGGCATAATATTAGTAAATGCATTAGGGCATTATGGCTTCAAATTCAAAACAATCACAAATTGCAAAAACTGCAACTACAGGACCAGTCAAATGAGAACAAGCAAATAGTGATGTTTATCAGTATTAAGACAACATGTAATATATGGAATCCTGACAGAAAGAGAGAGAGAGAGAGAGAGAGTGGCAGATGCCATGATCGATAGAGTGGTCAGGTCTTTCCCAATCCTTCAGCATAAATCATCAGCCATTATGATCATGCAGTCCATCAGCAGAAACATAAAACCCTTTGCAAATAGATCTGATGGGCATTAGTCATACCTCACACACTTCAGAAACACACACACACTGCATTTTTCCAGTGCTTTTCCGAACTCAAAGAGCTACATGACATCCTGGAAGCAGATACTCACTGGTTCAGTTCCACATCTAAAATGAAGGTCTGTCCGAAGGCCTGCACCTGGAAGCTAGCCTGTGCCATGTGGTTCTGTAAAAGAGACAAAACAAGACAATACCTAGTCATTCTCATCTCTTACGATGCCACACATGATCTGAGACAATAAAACCTGTAAAATTAGAACATATTTCGTGTTTTGGGAGAGAGAAATATAATTAGATATTGTTTTTATGCCAAACTCCAGTCCTCAGTAGGATTATTCACATTCACCAATTTTTGTCAATCCGAGTGAATTTAATTTAATTTCAGATTCTGAAAGTTTTGTTTATATGAGCCCTAAACTTTGCAATCGGATTCACATTTTTGTTTACATGTGCATTTACTTCAAGTGTGTTTACATGCAATGTGTTTTTTTTCCTATTGATCGGATTCCTTCAGGTCAGCACCACCCTTTCATTCCGATATCAATTTAATTCTCATTGAGGTGTTAACATGAAGGCTTTTCAATCTGATTGTGCATCAATTTGATTACTAATGGATTATTTGGGTGCATACAAAAGTAGCTAGCATCACATGATCCCTCAGAACTAATTCAAATATTCTGATCTTGGCTTAAGAAACATTTGTTATTATTAATGTTGAAAACCGCTGTGATGTCGTAATAACCTCAGGATTCAGGATTCTTTGAAGTAGAAAATGTAAAATTGTACTACCACTTTTTTAATGGTTTAATGTATTCTTGTTAATCAAAAGTATATTTTTATTTCGTAAAGAAAAACTCAAGGTGCCACACATGAGCTGAGACAATAAAAACTGTAAAAATTAGAACATATTTGGTGTGTTGGGAGAGACAAGTAAAATTAGATGCGCTAATTGCTTTTTTTTATTCATCACGGGCACACTTTGATGTGCAGGACTGGTGGCTGTGTGGGTGTGTGTGTGTGTTCGCTGATGGTTAATTCACTGCCTGCTTGGGGCCCATATGGCTAGGGCCGTATAACACCCCCTCAGGGGAAAGAGAAGCTTTTGGGTTGCAGCGCATTGTTCTCGTAGCTTGTGAGTGGATGTGTGTGTGTGTGAGGGGGGCAGACAGGGCAGAAATAGAAGCATATGAGGGAGGTGAGGGGAGTCTAACACCCCCCAGGGAACACACCTCTCCCTAAACCAGCAAAGCCTAGTTATCAATAAAAATAGAAGGAGAACGAAGGGGTGGAAGAAATACGGAGGGGGAGATCCTCTACACTTCACCCACCAGTGACCCCCTGAATGAAGCTACCCTCCCCGAGACACACCCACATCCATCTACTGCTCCTCGAATGAGTGTGAATTTGAGTGTCATGTCTAAACAAGAGGCACAATAACACACAAATCTAATAAAGAGATTCAGAGTGTTTTCTAGAAACTGTGTAAGATGAGAGGGCTGCAGCTTTCTGCCCATTACGTCTTTGGTATCATCGATTGCCGTTTCATCATATTAGCGTTTTAAACTGTTCAACTTGATTTTTTTCTGATCTACATTTTGTATTAAATAAAGAAGATCCAAAATTAGCAAGCTTCTCTTTGTTTGTTTTTCCAGGCATCAGTGAACATCTATAAATAAATATAGTCTTCAATCTTCAAAAAGATCCAATTGTAAGCCAAAACGTGGAGCTAAAAACAGACCTGAGTGTAGTTGAATGTATTTATTAAAAAATATATTTCACTGGCATATGCTTCTAATCCAATCTCTAATGTAGTATGATATATAACACCACAACGATTAAATCAATACTATGCATTGGCATGATGAAAAAGCCTTCGCCTCAATTATACAGAGCTCAGCTGCAGACGTCAGACAAAGGGTTAAGCCGCACACGTGCACACACAGCCCGAAGCACAAAACAGCGACGTTAGGACACATGTACAGACATTCTAACCGGTCAAAGAGACTCGTTACAGTAACGAGGCCACGAGCGATTGCATATCTGTGCCTTTGAGAATTATTCAGTCACGCAAAGTATGAGCAGCAAAGTACCTGAGCAGTCAGGATGGACAAAATGCTTAGACAACTGAGCTTTCACTCACAAATCATTCTAATCAGCATATTAACATGATGTCTGAAGAATCATATAACACTGTGATAGAGTAATGGCTGCTTAAAATTCAACTTTGCAGTTGCAGGAATATACGTTATTTTATTCAAATAGAAAACTGTTATTTTAAATTGAAATAATGCTTCAAAATATTACAGTTTTTACTGTATTTTTGTATTTTTCAGTTTTTAATTATTCCATACTTTTTACCAGTTATATATATCAATTTTACTTTCAAACATTAAATACAACTAATTTGTGAGTTAATGTGATATCAGCTCACTCAGAGTGTCTTTATTCACTATCTTTCAAGCCAGGCAAAGCAAGAACAAAAGAAATGGCATGTCCATATAAACCTCTAATAGCATTACACGCTCAACCGAGAAACCAAATACAAAATACATTTGACAGTTTTTTCCTTTTATCATCATGGCCCAGGTTTTGAGTCTCTGATTCAATGTTTTGCTGAATAATGGATTGGAGTTACATCATTAATCAGTCTCTGATATTTCTGTGGTATAAAATAATGTAAAAAACAATAATGCAATATTTATTTAGGCTGATAAATCTCCAACACAAGAGCTGCTCATTTGTTCTTTCTGTGTCCTTTGTGTTTCCAAAGCTGAGATGCCTCAGGAGGCCTAAGCAGCACCAGCATCTTCCGGTAAAATGTGCTGTTTTGGTTCATTATATATCACCCTTAAATTACTGGAATTAACTTCACAGCGCTCTCAGACCACCCAGTGCCTGACTATAAGACTCGGAAGGAGAGTAAAAGAGAAAAACATAAACATCTTTCCAAGAGCAGCGCGTCTCTAATGGCAACGGGAGGAGAGAGCATCCTTGTGACACCCAGATGACATCCAAACATGAGATGAAAAATACACACCTGTTTACTGTCAGAGCTCAATCGAAGCCGTGTGTTGAGAACATCATGAGCGGCCTGACTGTCTCCGTCCACTCGGTACACCAAGCGGACCGGTACCGTGTTCTCTCTACCGAGGAACCTGGCGACATCACGCCGAGCCCTCGTCTTTACCAAGGCGTCTCCTATGAATAATAAAAACACGGGAGCATTTTTTTAACACCTATATATTTTTCTCTCGATTTACATGTATGAAATTGGACATAATATTCTGTTTAGATACGATAAATAATGATAAATCACGGCTCAGGGTGGGCTATTTACCGTTACATATATATTAGTTGTTTACATCACCTGAAATGAATGCAGTGGGCGTAAAATACGACACTAATATGGTAAAAAATACGCCATAATTGTTTTGTTTTTTTATTAAATATATAAAAATACCCCCTCACCGTAATGAGGCAGGGAGAAGCTGGTATGTATCACAGAGCTCATCACCGCTACAAAGAGGCACAGAAAGGAAATCCCGACACGGAGAGGCATCATTCCCGCATCCATTCGGTTCAGAAAATCGCGGTTAATCATATATATCCCAAATTACACGAAACACGAGTTAAATTCCAAATTAAACCCGATTTTCCGTCTCCCTCAGGAAGGCGCGCACATACTCTCGCGCGCTGGTGACGCGCGAGCAGCCTCTGCATCGAGACGCGGCTTGCGCAAGCGGCGGACGCGTTCTGGAAAACTAAAATCAGGACCTTTTTTCTTCACCGAGCAGAAGCCACCACCTCCTCCTCAGCAAGACATCAATAATATCCAGCCGCCTCACTGCAGAAACGCCTCATAAATATACATTAGCGAGCTGCACGCGGGATGATGGGTAGTGTAGTGTGCGTGTAGACCTGCTGTCACCTTCTGCGCCAGAACTGATGCATTATGGAGCATAAGAACAGTGAAACACAATGTATTAAATAGTACTAGTACTAAATAATAATGCATAATGTTACGCCCTTGTAGTATGAAATCATGCATATCATTAGTACACCAGGCAATATTATGCTTTATGCACTAATAATTTTATAATAACCAGAAAAAAGAAAACCATTAAACAAAAACATAAAATAATATAACAAAATAAACAAAAAGCTGTGGAAGCCATTCAAAACAAATCCCAGGTTTACCCTGTAAATAAATACGTTGTGTGTAATAAACACATTTTTCATTAGTCCATTAGGCCACTTAAAGTAGAGCTTCAATTTGATTAAATAACACAGAATTTCCATTTGTTTAACATATTTATGCTACATACAGAAGTGGTTAATTGGACTATGTACACTACCATTCAAAAGTGTGTGGTTGGTAAAAATGTAAGCTTTTGAAATAAGTTTCTTATGCTCACCAAGGCTGCATTTAATAACTAAACACAACTAATATTGTGTTTATATTTTAATATTTATACATAGCTGTGAATTTGAAATGTAATTCATTGTTGTGATAGCAAAGCTGAATGTTCAGTATCCATTACTCCAGTCTTCGCTTCAGTGTCACTACTGTTACAACCACCTGGCTCTGAGTGCAGGATCATTACCAAAATGGGAGACCACACAGAAGACTAAGTTTAACAAATAAACATTTAATCAAGAATAAATCAAATAATACAAAAATTAAGTAAAAAGAAAGAAACGAAAAGAAAACAATCCAGGGCTGGAGAGGGAAGATGAACGGCGGCCCAGTCCAGAACACACACTGCTCTCTGAATCTCCGTTTTTTAAACCCAAACGCCAATCCCAGGTAACACTCCACACCTGTACCTGACGCTCGCTCTGAAAGAGGCAAAACCACGGAACACCACCACCTAGTGGACAAATATTAAAAAGAGAACACTCTGGCTGTAAATCACATAATCCTCCAGAGCTCATCATAATATGCTGATTTGGTGCACAAGAAACAAATCTTATTATGAAAGTTAAAAAAAGTTTTTGTGCTTTTTTTAATTAGGATTTTATGAAGTGTTTATAGTTAAAAGGACAGCATTTATTTCATACATAATTTAAAATGTAATCTTAATCTATAAATCTTTCGTTATGTTTGATCTATTTAATGTATCCTTGATGAATACATGCATCAACTTCTTTAAAACATTTGAACAGTAGTGTATACAGAATGTTAACTGAACTTAAGTCTTGAAACACTTAAGATAGTTGAAAGAGTTTTCTCATACATGTGTTATGAATACACCAACCCCTTAAGGCTCAGTTTATGTACTTATTACACATTATACACTAGACTAGAAGATTAGAAATCCATGGCAAATCGGAAGATTTCTAAAAAAAAAAAGATTTTTTGCAAAACACTTGTGCTTACAACCATGGTGCACAAAAATACGAACAAATACTTAAACCATTGTAAAAAATATTTGCAATTTAATACAGGAACCAGAAAATTTCAAGACAATCTCTTGCTGTTATATCATTCAATTACATCAACTCCATAAATTTACATACATGCATATCCACTCATTTTTTCCAGTATATAGTCAGTAGGTATATTTTCAGTCTAGAAGTTTTCTTTTAAAGCCTGTATGGTGAAAATGCAGTTTTCCATCGTACTAATTAAAGACAACAGACTTATTAATATATATTATTTGGCATAGTAACAACTTTTACAACACATACATGTGTTCAATTCCTCTTACTCATCTCAAAAACCCTTAAAGTCTTTATCCATGTTGTCACTGGACTGAAAGAGCTGCCACAGGTCCAGGAGAGAAGCAGGTGGGTTCTCACACTCCTGTACAGGTTTAACAGGTGAAAGAGAGCTCAATGATTCTCTCTCTTTACTGGATTCGATGTGCAAGGCCGGTGCTTGCTTTCTTCTTCTGGATCTGACATTTCGAACCTTCCGTTGCAGTGAATTAGTGGGGCTGTCAAGGTCCGGTTTGGGATCTTTGCAGGCTAAAGGCCAAAGAGCTGAGTTTCCAACTTGATTTTCTGGCATACTTTGCGAATAAACTTCACAGCAGTTAGTCCTAAAGCATTCAATTCCTGTTAATGATTCTCGGTCTCTTTCACTGAACTGTTGAGCTGTGTGCATGTCAGGGTTTGTCCTGGTTTGTTGATCTGTCCTGCATTCAAGTGCATTAGAGTCACAGTTCAGCTCTCTGCTGAGAAGAGATGCAGCTTCAGATTTTTGCGAGTGGAATTTCCACTCAAAGGATCCACGCTTAGACTGGGACTTCTCCGGAATGTCGGATTGGTCGAACAAGCTATCCCTGTTGCTCTTAGGGAATTCACACTGGCCCCTGCTGCGTTTGCGAAACGACAGAGGTTTTTCTCTGGTCTGTTCCGAGAGAGGTAGCTTTGCTGTAGAGCTCCAAAGCAAAGACCCCTCGCTTTCCTGTATCCAACCACCATTCACAGATCCCACATCTTCCTTTACTGGCAACATGGCTCCAGCACACAGAACAGGAGTTGATGTACTGCATTTCACCCTATGGCAGAGAGACATTGACACAGCGCTGTCATAAGGCCAGTAAAAACAGTAAACAATTAACAAATAATTTTTAATGACACGTTTGTACCTTCTGCAGTGCGTGCCAATGTTAATAAGGTCGCAGGTCAGTCCCGCAATGACTCGATCCACAACTCTGTACACATCACTCTTAGAGAAAGCCTGATGCTGCTTGCTCTCCAGGTGCTGGTGGTCAGAAGGTCAGAAAAGGTGAGCACAGATGTCATGCATTTCATGCAAATCCTGGTTCAGGCCAAAATGTATAATTATTGTGTCTTTTTTTTTTCTTTGACGAGAAAAAGCAAATGCAAAGTGTTCATATAATCTTGACTGGCTTTCTATCATTTCCAATACGTACCACCTTTAGGTTGTCGAATTTGACCTCACAGCACTCACAGTACCCTCCTTTCCTCTTTTCTCTCCCTTCATGTCCTCTGCGCCTCTCTTTCTTTCCTTGAGCTCCTCGTTCCCCTCCAGACCTGTGGCAAAACACAGATTCGCATTCACAACACAGAAAAACTCAAAAATGACTGCATTACAAAAAGATACTACTGATTCTGATTTTACCTTTGCTCTTTGTGTCTCTTCTTTGGATCATCCTTTCCATGTTCATCCATCAGGAATGGACTGCAGGGTGGAAGAGACCGGACGTTGCACACAGGCATGTTGGACAGGGGAAGGTAGATAGGACGATAATGTCTGCAAAAACATCACATTATTAAACCAGACAAGTAACATGAAAGTTAAAACACAAGAAAATCAACAAAGAAAACACACCTGCTTGAGTCTTCTACTTTCACAAATGGTCGACGAATTCTTCCAGCTGGAAATATAAAACATTTAAACAAAATGAATTAAAGATAGCTATAATATCATCAACTAATGTTTCTCAACTGGAAGATGCAACAAATTAAAAAGGTTCTTTATCTACTTACCATTGTGTCTGTGATATAGATTTTTCTCTGTGTGCTGAATGCTGGCCTAAAAATAAAGAGTGATAAACTGAATATATACAGAAACAGAATTATATGCAGCCCTGCACAGAATCTTCTGCAGCTCCACAGATTTCTCTTTAGGACAGTAAAATACTAACTTTATAGTTGTTTACTAAGTCCAATATTTAGAAAAGTGGTTGAACAATATGTTTTATCAATGGTTCATTTTTTTATTTTTACATTTGTGCTACAAGCATAAAATTACTCACAGCTCCTTTCACCACTGGATTAGCTGAATTCACAGCAATGATTTTTGATTTCCTCTTGTCAACATATGAAATAACATCTGTTTGGAAGCCAAGCATAAAAGACCATGTAATACTGAAACCACATCTCACTTCTTTAACAATGCAAGTATTAATAATGATGACAAAAGTAATACCGTCAATATGTAGGACTTTGACCCCCCATTCCACAGCATTTGCCAAGATCCCATTCATCTGAACACGTTCCTAAAACAGAGCAGAAAACCATAGTACTGATAAACTACTCAAGACTGCTGCGCACAGTTGATTCACAAACAAACAAGGCATGATAAGGATTGACTAACTTGTTCTTTAACGACTCTCTCCACAAGCGATTTGCCTCGACTTACAGCTGTCTGTGAAATTCCAGCAAGACATGTCAGTGTCATTCACATATTCAAACATTTTGGATTCGTAAGGCTTTTAAGAAATTAATACTTTTATTCAGCAAGGATCAATTAAATTGACCAAAAATGACAGTAAATATATTATCATTGTTAAAAAAAGAATTCTGAACATTCTATTCATCATAATCATACAAAAAAAAAAAAAACATAAAACAAATAGGTTTACAAAGGGGTGGAAAATTTCGAGTAAATTTCTGGGAATTTACAGGAAATGTTCCACCCTTTTGCAACCCTAAAAACAAATATGGTTTTCCAAGAACACAAGAACATATGAATTGACTTGATATTGAAAAAAAACAACAATGCTGAATATCACAAATCAAAATATATCATATTAATAAGCAATTATAAAACAATTCCAGTCCTTGAGTAGGATTGGTTTAGCCGTGTTCAAAGACATTGTAAATTATTCTAGAAATATACACCTGTGACATTACATCAGTATTACTGGACCACTGTGTTTGTGTGTTGCTGTTAGGCACTCCACATAAAAATAAGAATATTATTAACTGCATAAATTCACAATGACATTTTGAAGACTTTAAACATTTAATATAATTTAATTTTAACAATTTTAAAATGCTTAGTGTTTTTTTTTTTTTTTTGACTTAGGAAACCCAGAAACAAGATCTATGGCAGTGAAGTTGAAATG